TAGTAGTAGTAGTAGTAGTAGTAGTAGTAGTAGTAGTAGTAGTAGTAGTAGTAGTAGTATTAGGCCCAGGCAAATCAATCCTCTCGCCTTGTCCTTCAGAGCAGAGTGTTTAAACATGGGCTCACCACCGTCATGGTAGTTGAAGGTGAAACATCTGTCATCCTGCACCTATTGATGTTGCCATAGTAACGTTTCTCATTCATTCCTGGTCCAGTCTCGTGTGTGAAGTCTCGTGTGTGAAGTCTCGTGTGTGAAGTCTCGTGTGTGAAGTAGTGCACCGTGTGTGCGCGCTGTGTTGGACTCATCTGATTGGACGAGCCTCGGACCGTACCATGGTAACAAAAAGGAGGGGAAGTGACGTTTCCTGTCGCTCGTGGAGCAGAAGTGGAGATATTTACTTTTTGTAATTGGTTTTCACAAAAAAGGTACTTCTTGTAAAGAATATTAATAAAAACAATAAGCAAAGAAAACCACCTGTTATGGATTAAGAAAAGCAAACAATGAATAAAAGTCAGGAAATTAAAGCAGTAAAAATAGTTTTTTCAGCAAAGTTTCACTAGAGTTCTTTGGGTTCTTGGGCACCTTTCTAAAATTTTAAACCATAGACTGTAATAAAGATTATTTATWTAAAAAATACAAATTTTAGCATCAAACACACTCAGCTTTATTATTAAAATCTGAAATGAGGATTCTGAGGATTTTTCAGTTAGAAACTTACTAACTCGCAGATGACAGAAACATAAATGTCAGCGTTCATTTTTGTCAGTCACAAAGCAGAGCGTGATTGGTCCGTGATAAGAGTGCACTTCCGAGACRAGGAAACAGCCAGGCGACGCTGTGATTGGTCAGAACAGCTGTCACTCACTGGCAGATGAAAAAGTTAGGTATCGCAGTCCCGCCTCCTGAAACTGGCAGCAGAGCAAATGTTACTTTGGAAATCCACACACATTGAATGAAAGTCAGTGAAAGGCTGTGGCCAGCTGGGTGTTTTGCAGCCACTAAGGTTATCTTAGCTTGTAGACGGCTGGTGAGAGRGGGCCAGCGGACATACGGGTGACAAACACGGACACAAACAGGAGGTTAAAGTCATTTGTGGAAGGTAAGAGGCATTTGCATTTACGTTAGCCTGGGCTCTCATTCACCAAGAATTTCTGGTTAGACAGGTAGGTTAGCTAGGTTCACTCGCTGCTAATTTCTCTTAATGTACGTTTTATAAGTTGATACCTAGCTGGCACATCGTAAACGTCACCWTTTTAAGTGAGAGTACTTGTTGATAAAGTGTCCTTTTCCGCACATCTGTGTTGCAAATGCTACCCGGTGTYTTGGAAGCATTGATGTTAGCATGGTGGCTAACTTACGGATATCATGTTTCGTGTCAGCGAGGCACGCTGCCTTGCTCCTTTCGCCAACCTTGTGTGCTTTCTGCTGCAAGCGGAGGAGAGCGTTTGAAACATAAAGTGAGCTTTTTCCATACATCAAGCTGTCTGTGTGTCGGTGTGTGTCGGTGTGTGACCAGGAGCGGGCTGAGGCAATGCAGCGGGTCACGGCGCAGCTCGTCGCCGGGCTGCTGGCGGTGGTGCTGTCGCTGCTGTCCGAGCAGAGCTGGGCGGACGGCGGGGGCCCAAGCCTCGCAGAGCGGGTCATCTGGGCTGTGAACGCCGGGGGTGAAGCACACATGGACGTGCACGGTATTCAGTTCAGGAAGGACCCGTTGGAAGGGAAAATCGGCAAAGGTGAGTCCATGTGTTGTTTGTTAACGTGTCTCTGCTTCACCTTTGAGGTGCTGATGATGAGACTATAGAAAAAAGGTAGAATGTGTTGCTTTGAACCCACATTAGTTTCCAGCAGAGGTCTCTCTGCAGGCAGCGGCTTCCGCATCCGCAAGTGACTACAAACTAATGAGGAGTCAGCATTAGAGGGCTGCAGCCCCGCCTCTCTCAACATAAAAAGGAAGCAGGAGATAATGTGTCCAAACAGACCGCAGAGAGCCAACACTGGCTTCATGAGATGCAGTTATCACAGCTCAGAGAAAACACGATGTGGTCACCGCATAAACATTTCCACTGAACTCAAGAAGAAGAAAAAAATAAGCGTGTAAAGTGGAGCTAGATGTTTTCCCGGCATGGCTGTTATTTAGGAGGTTTTGTAAGTTAAAYTACACACACAGCCTGATGTTATTCTCTCTCTCTCAGCATCTGATTATGGGATGCGTCTGCCAATACTGCGCTCAAGTCCWGAAGACCAAATTCTGTACCAGACAGAGCGCTACAATGAAGACACATTTGGATATGATGTTCCCATTCGTGAGGAAGGAGAATACATACTGGTCATGAAGTACGCAGAGGTTTACTTCGCACAGTCACAGCAGAAGGTATGATCGAGTAAAATAACTAATCAAAGTCAGACATTTACATGTGGGAAAGTTTATTTTATTTATTTTGAATGAGCTGCTTAGCATTACTGATTTAAGGTTATGTTTTTAGGTGTTTGATGTTCGCCTAAACGGCCACGTGGTGGTGAAGGACTTGGATATCTTTGATCGAGTGGGCCACAGTACTGCTCACGACGAGATAGTACCCTTTTCTATAAAAAAAGGCAAGCTGAGCGTTCAAGGAGAGGTGTCCACTTTCAACGGCAAGCTCACTGTAGAGTTTGTAAAGGTAAGRTGTTTTTATCTTCATGGTCAGATTGAATCATAATAAACGGTAAAAAAAAGGGGTGGAGCTTAGAGCATTACATTACACTTTAGATGCACAAGGAAAAACATTTCACAAAACTAGATAAATATTTAAAAAATATTGTTTGAGTGACTGACAAAACACACCATACAGAACATGGTTCTTACTGACCAGGTTGTTACTGTTGTGAACTTGAATCCTCATATTGAACCAATCGAAAAGTAAGCCCAGACAAGGAAAACTAATATTTTTCATAACTGTACGGTACTTGTCAAAGTAATAGTTTGTTGTTTTTAATGAACATGGCATGTTATATTGAATGACTTGCTTTCCTTAAAAAATCGAGGATTTACTTTTAGTTTAGTTTAATTTAATGCACGTTAGACAGTTTGAAAAATGTAACGTACCATTCGAGGTTTAATCTAATTTGTTAGCTGCTAGGCTAACTCAGTGTTACACCTGTAGTTACTGTAATTCAAAGATTTTCTGTCATTGAAAGGTTAAAAAAAAAACTAAAGCTTCTGGCAACATTTTAGCAATCAGCCCAGTGTCAGACTCTGCAGTGATTTTTATAAAATCAAGAGTTACTTTTCTTATTGGTTTACASCATAGGTGTGATACACTTCATGAACACACAGTGAAAAGATGACTGAACAAGTTRGGCTTGTTTGAAACCACAAGAAACCTTTTTTTATTATTTCTAAAAAGATCATGGCTGCACGGTTTAGGTTGGCAGAGTTACAATCGAATGGAACTGGAACAATGTCCTCTGAGCACAGGAGACCTGAGACAGAATATTTGGTCACGTACACTGAGTTAAGAACAAACACTTCACACCAGCTGTTAACARGATGATGGAGGGTTGATAATTAGGACTGTTTTGTGAACACAGGACCTTGACACTTTGCAGTCTCTGAGTTGATAATAAACTCCTCTGGTTTACCAAAGTGATCTAAAACCAAACGTGTCTCCACCTGTCAGACAAATGAAGTTTGGCAGCAGGACATCTACAACTGACAGGAAAATAAAGAATCAATGTTGAGATATTAAGACAGCCGTGCATAAATCGGAGTCATCAGCAATGTTTGCATGCGCAAAATTTTTTGATCGGATTAAATGTTTGGATTAAATAATCGGAATGTATCGTTGACGTGGACGCAATCCAATCATGACGAGTGTTTACATGCAGCGGGCTTTTATTCTGAATAGAAGCACTGACATGCACAGTTGCTAACGTTCCCTTAAAAAAACATAGAAAAAGTTCTACTTTTGTCATGAACATAAACAGCTTGGATTAACATAAGCAGCTCTGGTTCAGCTGCAGGTGACGCACGGCAGACCTTTTTTTCTTTTTTCTTTTTTTTTTTTTTGCGATGCAGCGCAGGCTGTGTGTCTTCCTTTTTTATTGAATGAGAAAACGGGAGGAAAAGTTCTGTGCTGCTGGAAACTCCCTCCCTTCACCAAAGAGCAGAAACTGCTGGATGAAAGTCAGCAGACATGCGCAGTCAGGTCAGTTTTCCACAATCAGAATAAYATGATCAGATTYAGTGCTCACATGCACCACCACCTCTCTCATTCCYATTASAAATTCATTCGGATTGAGCTGAATCGGGTCAGAATAATCCGAATGTGGRGTTTACATGATGCATTTTTATTCCGAATGGCCGTTTAATCGGATTACTTATGTCCATGTAAACATAACTAGTGTGAAAGACTGATAATTAAAYCAATTAAAACAAAGATGTAGTTTTTATGTATGTTTCCAAGATAAGCATCAATGACTGTCAAAGAAATTCACAATAGTGTTTAAATATATATGTGTATATATATGTGTATATGTGTGTGTATATATATATATACACTCACCGGCCACTTTATTAGGTACACCTGTCCAACTGCTCGTTAACACTTAATTTCTAATCAGCCAATCACATGGTGGCAACTCAGTGCATTTAGGCATGTAGACATGGTCAAGACAATCTCCTGCAGTTCAAACCGAGCATCAGTATGGGGAAGAAAGGTGATTTGAGTGCCTTTGAACGTGGCATGGTTGTTGGTGCCAGAAGGGCTGGTCTGAGTATTTCAGAAACTGCTGATCTACTGGGATTTTCACGCACAACCATCTCTAGGGTTTACAGAGAATGGTCCGAAAAAGAAAAAACATCCAGTGAGCGGCAGTCCTGTGGGCGGAAATGCCTTGTTGATGCCAGAGGTCAGAGGAGAATGGGCAGACTGGTTCGAGCTGATAGAAAGGCAACAGTGACTCAAATAACCACCCGTTACAACCAAGGTAGGCAGAAGAGCATCTCTGAACGCACAGTACGTCGAACTTTGAGGCAGATGGGCTTCAGCAGCAGAAGACCACACCGGGTGCCACTCCTTTCAGCTAAGAACAGGAAACAGGCTACAATTTGCACAAGCTCATCGAAATTGGACAAGAGAAGATTGGAAAAACGTTGCCTGGTCTGATGAGTCTCGATTTCTGCTGCGACATTCGGATGGTAGGGTCAGAATTTGGCGTCAACAACATGAAAGCATGGATCCATCCTGCCTTGTATCAACGGTTCAGGCTGGTGGTGGTGGTGTCATGGTGTGGGGAATCTTTTCTTGGCACTCTTTGGGCCCCTTGGTACCAATTGAGCATCGTTGCAACGCCACAGCCTACCTGAGTATTGTTGCTGACCATGTCCATCCCTTTATGACCACAATGTACCAACATCTGATGGCTACTTTCAGCAGGATAATGCGCCATGTCATAAAGCTGGAATCATCTCAGACTGGTTTCTTGAACATGACAATGAGTTCACTGTACTCAAATGGCCTCCACAGTCACCAGATCTCAATCCAATAGAGCATCTTTGGGATGTGGTGGAACGGGAGATTCGCATCATGGATGTGCAGCCGACAAATCTGCAGCAACTGTGTGATGCCATCATGTCAATATGGACCAAAATCTCTGAGGAATGCTTCCAGCACCTTGTTGAATCTATGCCACGAAGAATTGAGGCAGTTCTGAAGGCAAAAGGGGGTCCAACCCGTTACTAGCGTGGTGTACCTAATAAAGTGGCCGGTGAGTGTATATGTATATATACACACACACACACACATTTTATTTCAAAAACTAAGTTCATGACTGTCAGCTTGACATGTTTCTAACAGTGTTCCTGTAAATGGCTCATGCTGTCTCAAATGTGTTTTTCATCATTTACAGCTCAGTATTGTCATTAAATACGCTTTTTATTTAATTAGGAGGAATTTCAAGTGAACAGCTGTAGTTGTGATTCTTTTAAAAGTTTTTATTGTTAAATACTTTTACTGAACTTCTTTGTAACACACTCTTAATCTATTCAAAACTACTAAAGCCACTATCAAACATGAGGATTTTTTTAGCAATYTTATAGTTTTTAATTGTCTTTAGATTTACCTTGAGTTTTTTTTCCCAAGGAAGTCCTTGTAAAGGTTTTTATTTTATTTTCTAGCAAATAATTATCAGAATGTAGATTAGTCTGAAACCAGCTTACAGTGGAGCTGATTCARCCATTTAAAAACTGATGAACAGGCTGGTATTTCAGAAGCAAGAAGTACTCAGGACTGTTCACTATACTTTATTTTCACAAATAGAACTGCTTTGACAGCATTTGTTTAATACTAACTAGTTACTAATTAACTTAGCTGATAGCACAAATAATAAATAGCAGGTACAATCCACCTGCTGCAGGCCATAAGGGGAAGTGATTTTATAAACATCTTCCTTTAAAAGTTAACAAAAGCAAACTGATGCTGTTGACTSACTGACTGATTTTTCTTTCTGTTCCAGGGTTATTATGACAACCCTAAGGTCTGTGCGCTGTACGTTATGAAGGGGACTTTAGATGGTGAGTTCTGGGATTATTTATAAATATATTAAGTAGGTTGTGTTTCCTGTGCAGTCGTACTTGTGGATCTGACAGCATGTCTGATATCTCCATAAGGCACATGTGGTTGAGTTACACAGTCCATCAGTGTTTGTTTTCCTAACAGATGTACCAAAGCTACAGCCTCACCCTGGTTTGGAGAAGCAAGACCCCGATGAAGAAGATGACGAGGACGACAGCGAAGGAGGTGAGGAAGGTGGGAAGAAAAAGGTCTCAGCAGGTTCCAAGCGGGTCCAGTCAGGCCCCCGAACACCGAACCCTTACGCAGCTGACAACAGCAGCCTCATGTTTCCCATCCTCGTCGCATTTGGGGTCTTCATCCCCACGCTGTTCTGCCTCTGCCGGCTGTGAGCTGAAACTGACTGTGGGCGAAACATCGGGAGGAGCCAGATGGATGTGGGACTGCGAAGAGGAGGAGAGGGGGAGATYGTGGGGGAGAAGGTTAAGGGGGGGCAACAGCCACACGGGTACAAGCATACACACAGAAGAGAGCCGAAAGCTCGTGGAAAAATCAGAACAATGAAAAGAGACAATAACTTATTGGGAAAGTCACTGCCAGATGAAGCAAATACTGCTTTTCTAGGAGGAGGAGCTGTTGGAAGTGTGTTCTGCACACTACTTCAAAACGCGTTTCACATCCACCTCTCCTGATCCTTTCCGAACAACGTGGGTTATTTCTACTTAGAGGCTGGGCGGGGTTTTCAGGTGCCAGCTTTCATGGATGAAGCCACATTTCTGCAGCTAAGTGATGCTCAGGAGTGACGGGTCTGGGTCCATTTTCTAAACGAAAAGCATTGTTTTTGTACTGTGTGTAGCAAGGAAGCACACTGTACGTAACACTCCTGCTCAACACCTGGTCAGACGTTTCACCTGCAGATTGGAAATGGTGCTGCTTAGCTTACGTAGAACAGAACCCACAGGCGAGACGGTGGCTGGAAAAAAAAACAGGTTTTCAATTGAGACGTCTGGTCCTGTCAACACGTTTGTGTCTCCATTCAGATCTGTTTGGKCTGGGGTTAAAGTGCCATCATCTACTTGCCATAAGATGTTGAGAGGTAAAGGAAATAACGCTTGAACCAGCTCAGCTGGCCTTTCTGTTGCTGTAAGTCTGCTCACCTGAACAGAAACAGGGTTTAGGTTTCACTAATCTGCTGGTGTGTGGTAAATGTTTTTGGCATTGTTCCCCTCCATACCGATTCAAGAAATTACTCATTTTAAGCCCTTTTTTATTTTTATTTTCTTCTTCTTCAGGCATAAATCCATCTTCAGTTTGAAATGAAATCCTTTACAGAGCAGCTGAGTTTAATGGGAGACAGTTTTTTTAGTGAAAGGCTTAAGCACCAGTGKAGACTCTTATTTTCTTAAATTTTTTCATTCATTATGCATGACTGCCTTTTTGTTTCACCAAAGAATGTCTTTATTTTTAACAACCTGCTTTAATTTAAGAAAGCGTTCAGTTTATGTGGACAAAAACCACTTTATGAAAAACCGATGAGGTGCATTTTCCCCCCACCATGTTTAAGACTGAGTTATAAATCTTTGCTGCCTTTTCTTCTGATCTGTTCTAACAGAGTATTCTCCACAGGGCTGTGAGCTCCAGTCCTTTACCGTGAACTAGCACCAGTAAAGATAAAATGATTCAAATTTGTGCCAYTTTAATTTACTTGTTTTTGCACATGCTTTAGCTTTCTGTGTGTGTGCCACCAATCAGTTTACCTGCAGCTTAAAGATAAAAAAGCACAACATTTGTCTAAGAAGTAAAATGAAATGTTCACCCCACGTTATGCATGAACATTTAGACACTTATCCAGGTTTTGTCTCCTGACCCTTTTTGGTCCTGTTTTCTTAAAACGGTTTAATTTAGGTTGGAACGTTTTCTTTTTTCAGTGTGAACATTAAATTAAATTAAAGTTCTGGTTTTTGACCTGGATGAGCACACTGTGGACCCCCCCCACCCCCACCCCAACCTGTAAAGCAACTTTAGTCCCTCAGTTGTAGAGTGAACTCCTATTTAAAGATCTTTCTACCTCCRGAGTGCTTCACTCTTCTCCAAGGAAGACTTTGAAACTTTGCTCYTTTCCCAAACATCACAGCGTCCCCCCACCCCTCTTATGACTCGTTGGTTTCCCCTCTCATCAGTATTGTTGTTGCCATAAACAGTCCTGGAGGGGCTCATCTGATGTTTCAGATGTCATCCTTCTGTTGTTACAACTCTGTTCGTATTGATTGACGGCTTCAAGAGAGTTTGTGCCAGAAAATGTTTGGACACTTGCTTGTTTTTAACCGTGCGCTCGTTAAAGTCAGAATAACCTTTTTTTTTCTTTCTTTCTGAGAAGTGGCAGAAATTTTAAAGGAATTCAGCAGCAAAGTTTGTTGTCCTAACTCTACGCAGTCGTGTGTTAAATCACACTTTGTGGTTTTCGTTTTGATCCGTTTCTTTTCTTTGCCGAGGGTGTTTGGAGTAGAAAAATCTCTGAGAAAGACCTTTAGTGGCCTTTTTTTTCTGGCAAGAAGTAATTGTAGTGCTTTTTTTTTTTTGTTAAGCAGCCACATGAACTGGTTGTCAAACAAATGAGATTAAAAATATGGGCTCTTTCATTTTATTCTATCTAATTTAAATCAGATTGGGGCTGGCCTGGAGATGTTTTATATTATGCTTGGATTTGTTTTGAGTTCCTCAGGATCTGTTCTTTGAGTTTTTTGAAACATATTTTATTGGTGTGACATTTTGCACTGCCTTGTGTACTTTCAGATATTTTTTGTTTGTTCTTTTTCTTTGTTGTCTTGAATTATTGAATACGTTGTGCTTTACCATGATTTGCCTTGAGAATGCTGTTTTGTTGGCCTTCTGTTTTTATGATTTTCAGGGCTGGATTGCTCATTCCACATAAAAAAGGCTCTTATTCTGAGCAGGAGCTTCAAATGATCTCAACTGTCTTTGACCTCAACTTTACCAGGAGCAAAGCCAAAATGATAACAGTAATAATAATAAAAATAAAAATCCATCCTTTCTTCAGGCCTGTTACTGTCTGACCATCTCACAGGTGAATGAGCTGAACAGTAATTTAAATACATTTTTCTAAAAACACACAAGAACCAAAGAATTGCCGACTTTTCATTGAAATTCTTAGTGAGCAACGTGACTTCAGATGAGTGTTYAACTCTTTCCTCCTGATAACCCAGGAAGTAAAACCATCGTTTCAACGTCAGGATTTGTTGGAGACAGTGGAACTGCTCAGTAATAACTATAAATTTATCGAAGGCATGTTTTTGTTTTGTTTCGACCACAAGGTAATTTGATAAAGGCGATGTGTTCAGAGTAACAGGTATTCAAAGAGCGACACATCAGCCATGTGWTCAGCAGAGCACATCCAGCCAGCTGTCCGTCACATGCTCTGTCTGAGTGCGYTTAAAAAGATGAATAAAAAACATCCCATCATCCTGTAGATGTGTTTGTCGGATACGTTTCTGCTCCTGCGAGGGTCCGAGGCGGCAGCAGCAGCACCAGGGGGGACTGAGAAATATTTGCGAGATTCTTGATCTTCTGACTCAGATGTGACATATTTCTGCAAAAATGGAAAATGCTGATTAATGCTGTCTCTTTTTAATAAATGTGCTATTTTATCAGAACATGTCGCAGTTTATTTTGTCCGAATTAATTTTTTTAATTGTGACTGAGTCAAATGATTTCAGCTAAAAAAAAAGGCACAATTTTGTTAAATGATGGAAATTATCCTGGATGGTCAGAAACTTGTTGAACAAGCTTTTAGAAAGTGTTCAAGGTTTTTGTGATAGAAAATTTAGAACGTTGAGTTTCTTCTTGACCAATAAAACGATATTTGTAAAACTTTAATTTTTAATGATATCCTTCATATTTTAGCTTAAAATAAATCAAAAGAAAAAGAAAAAAGAACATCACTGGTTTGGCCKAATCCAAACATCACAACAAATCAGTTCTTGGAATAAAAAGGTTTATAAATATTTGATCTGTATCAATTATTCAAAATAAATCGTAGAACTATTAGAATGTCCTTAAAAACATCTGAGGAAAGGCATAAAGTGTGCAATATGTTTCTCTCAAAACTGCTCATCACTTGCCAAAGAGCAAAGGTTTGTTATCTGTTAGCAAAATATTTCATGAACCAGTAAACAACTGGTAATTAGATGAACCCTTACAGATGAATACATGGAGTCAACCCAATTCAAGATGGTCGCCACAGTCAATTTACCTTTCAAACAGAAAAATGGTTTAAATTTAATCTGTTTTACAATCSTGGAGCTAAAATGGTGAGTGGTAGTAGCTGAGAGTCATTTACTCTGAGGGGGAGCCTTTGTGACATCACGTCACACATATATTTCAAGGTTGGACAAAACTGGCCCACAACTTTTTGATTTCTCAACAAAAAATGATTTAGTCAGTGGTGGGCAGCATTAATCTAAAAATGAGTTCCACTAGCCCTAAAGCACTAACTCAGATATTTGGGTCCCCTAATTCTGAAGCACTAACATTTAGCAAAAGCTAATTCTAAAGCACTAACATTTAGCAAAAGCTAATTCTAAAGCACTAACATTTAGCAAAAGCTAATTCTAAAGCACTAAAATATCCCAGTCAAGCCATGAACATTCTTCAACAGACAACGGCCATGTTGCTCTCTTAAGACTTACGACATTCCACAGCTGTATGTCTCTCTTAGGTGATTTGCGACACCTGGCTGTGCCGCAAAGCAGATCCTGGATGACGTTGTTAGAAAAAAAACCGGCATGGACCAATCACTGCCTCGGATTTCATGTTCAAGAATATTGTTGGAGAAATGTCAAGATAAAACTGAAAATGCTAAGATAAGTTCACTTTCAACACACTAATGTTGTCACCTTGTACTGATTGTCTGTAGAATTACATAAAATGTCCTCATTTGAATCATGAGAACTGTTTTTTTAAATCAAAAACTCAGCAGCTTTAAAGTATTTTGTCTCAGAGCCTGAGGTCATGTTGAGCTGCTCCCTCCTCCTCTTCGCCACTGTCTGCAGACAACACACACACACACACACACACACACACACACACACACACACACACACACACACACACACACACACACACACACACACACACACACACACACACACACACTCCTTCGTCGCAGCATGCACTCACCAGCTGAGTATATTTATATATTTTATCCAAAAGCCACACACAGATGTCTTCCTCCTAGTCAAACATTATGCACAGTTTTAATTTTCTTTTTTACTTTTCTTTCTTTCTTTTGCATTTCTGATTAAACCTGTTTTCCACATCTAATAACTGAGAATAACACTCAGGTGGGGAGGAAGACAACTGTAATCTGTGTGATCTCATCTCAGACCCCCCTGTGGCAACTCTTAACCACTTAAGAGTCCTCTGGAGCAGCCTTAACTTTTCTTGAGTCAGAGTGATTCTAAGACTTAAGAATTTTCATAACTGACACTTACACTTAAGTCTGAGAATAGGAGCATATCTAAGAAATTTTCAGCACTTAAGTCTAAAAATCCACTCTGAGAAGTTTTATAAATACGGGCCCAGGAAATTAGTTAGTGCTTTAGGGGAACTGTGCCCACCACTGGTTTTAGTCTTAAACTCTGGCTCTAACAGCAGATACACATTTACAGCAGGATTGTAATTTTAAAGGTGCAGGGGTTGCATCTATTCCCCTCCTGACCCACGAAACATTAAGATTCTGCACTGTTTTGTAGATTTAAATAGACCTTTTCCAAAAGTAGCTTKATCCCAAACCCAGTCAAAACTACAACAAATAACATCCGACCATTTGTAACCCTTTCTACCTGACTCCAGCACACAGTTTGAGGTCAACCCGTTTTCCTGATAAGTTTTAACTGTAAAGTCAGCAAAGTTCAACACAGCAACTGTTACCAGACCTGTGTTTGTTCAGGTGTTTATCTCACCAACTGTCCAAATGTCTTTCAACTGAGGGATCTGCTTCAAATATGTAAACCAGCTGAACAAAGTGAACTGAAACCCATCTGAGGCCACACACCAAGACTGTTCACAAGTTTTTAATCACCACACACATACACCCACACACACCCACACACACAAACCTTTAGTTATATTTAAACAGTTATACAAGCAGAGCTTTAAAAACAGCTATAAATTAAGAGATTTCACATTGAAGTGCATGTTATCCTTTGAAGTCTTGTCATAAAAGACATTTAACAGGTAAAACCCTTTTCAATGGTAATAAGTTAATCTGTAGAAGAGAGCTGTGAACGGCGAGTGTAGGAGGTGAACGCCCTCACAGGGGACCCCCACTCCGGCTCGACTGCAGCCCAGGGCCAAAACCAGGTCCAGAGCCCGCAGTGCATCCCCGTCGACCTCCTGCAGAACCCCTGCTGAGGGCTTTTCACCCGGCGGGTCCTCGTTGGAGAAGAGCCTGACCCGCAGTACGTTTAACAAGCCGGGGCCTCGGTCTGCTCCACCTGCCACCTCCTGCAGGTGGTGAAACAGGAACAGCAGATCCACCCGCAGCTCTGACGTGGCCTCCTGCYAGCTCAGGCTGTACCTGTTGGGAGGACACAAAGAAACCTGGTTACAACCAGAAAACCTATTTTCAAGAGGGAAAACCCTCAACCGGGAGCAGATTCACCTTGTGGGGAGGTTGCGCCTGGCCCTGAGCAGAATCACGGGCTGCACGTCCAGATGCTGGGGGTTAGAAAGGTGCAGGTGAAGCTCGGCTCTCCAAATAGGTAGTGATAAAATCTCCCTCGTGAGCACAAACTCCATGCCTGCATCTGCAGTGGGGGGAGGAGCAGAAAGAAGCATTCAAAGTCCAGCTCCTTTAAAAAACATCACGTCGGCCTCAGCTGCAGCAGTCAGCCCACCCCCAGCGCCGGGACCCCAGAGGTGATGTTTTCACCTAGTTAATCTGTCAGCAGGACACCTGAACACGTTTTGGTGAGGACATTAAAGCCAGCTGAGGCTCATTTGTATGCAGATAAGACAGTCCTGTCTGTGACCGCAGTAATCAAGTCATTAACAGATTAATCATTAGTCATTAAGTCTGAGTGGTTTTCAAGCTCACTTGTTCGACTCAGAAACAGCTCAGGGGGTCCGCCAGGGACCTGTTCTTTTCTGTCCACAGCAGACTCCGATTCCTCTAAATAAGGATCCTTTCATCCCCGTGTTTCTTTTAAAGAGTCACCAAACACAAAGTTTTATAACAACAGAACACACTGAGTCCATCCATCATCTTTTATCCTCTTTATCCTGTCAGGGTCACTGGGGTCACTGTGCGAGGGGCAGAGCCCTGGACAGGTCATCCATGTGCTGAGTCTTACCCCCCAAATAAGGTTTTAGTTGGAGATATCGATAAATTTCCACGATCCTACACATCTGTGCAGCRGCAGAGGCAGGTCGCCAGAGCAGAAARCATTTCATCAAACCCAAAAATAACTACAGCTCAGCCACTTTCACACTCCCTGAGGTGGAATTTGGTGTGGTAGTAGCTGCGAATGATCCCCAGCTTACGCTTTTAAAGATTGTAATACATGTCTGTTYGCAACATTTCTCCTCATCATATGAACAACTACATCTGATCAAGCTTTAGGTTGATYGCTGCCACAGTCAGATTGCCTTGGAAAACACTAAAGTGTTTAAAATTAAATAAATCTTAACACATACTGAGATCAGATTTGCTGTCGGAACAGCTGTGACTGACTCCCAACACAGTTTCTGAGCATTCACAAATTGTGCAGGATCTTCCTTTGAAGTCAGCTGTGTTTTTCTGTTAGCAAAATATCTGATGATCTATTGAAGGGGTTTCAATGAAACTCAGAAAGTGGTCATTAGTTGGACAGCTACAACTCTTACACTTCTGGAGTTAAAAGAATTCAAGATGGCCGTCACAGCTAATCCTTTTTGGCCTGCGTACAAAGCTGGCACCTTGTTTCTAGATCATGGGTGATCAGAGGGGTGGGTCCTGAAACTATTTAGTAACCCCTTAGCCATCCAGGACAGGACCACACATCTTAGTTCCACATCCAGAAACCAGATTTTACCTCCTCTTAAGCGACCTTGGATCCCTCTGACGCTCCGGCAGCTTCCCTCCTGACAGCAGTGGTAAACCCG